TCAAACGAAGTCGATTTGTATGATCAGTTTAAATAGGCCTATTGACTGTGATTTCAAACGAAGTTCATTTGCATAAAAGTTTAAATAGGCCTATTGACTGATTTCAAACGGATCGATTTGCATCAGTTTAAATAGGCCTATTTGCTGTGATATCAAATGAAGTCAATTTGCATGATCAGTTTAAATAGGCCTATTGACTGTGATTTCAAACGAAGTCGATTTGCATAATAATGATAAAAATAATGACGTTAAAAGTGTAGAACAACAATGAGAATAATGATAACTGTACATCAAGTAATCATAGACTATATACAGGCTTATCTACCGAGAAAAAGACAAGAAAATAAAGATAAAAATAATAAATAAAAGTTCACAGAAATAATATTCCCCGAAAAATGATCTCGTGTAATGTTCGCTTTATTTTAATTTGATCGAGGGTTTAAATGGTGTTTTTTGTCACTTATTTTGATTAATTTAGTTTTTTTTTATTTGTTAAGACTTTCATTCTAGATTACTATAAAAGTTTTATGATAGTTTTTTTATGTTTAGTGGTCAATTATCTTGATGATGGTAGTAATTATAATGAGAAAGATAGTGTTGATAATGATAGTGATGATGGTGAAATGATAATGATAGGTGATGATGATGAAAATTATAAAAATAAGAAACAGGATCTGTTGAAATTCCACTAAATTGGAGAAGAGAGGTGTATCTCCCTTCTTCTCTCTCCTCACTTCTCTCTTCTCTACCTATCTCCCCTCTTTACTCCTAAATCTTCCCTAAATTCCTTTCTTCTCCCACCTTAAGTCCTACATTTATTCTCTCTCCCTTCCCTCTTCTTCCTCTCCCTTCCCTCCTCCTTCGCTCCCTAATCCTCCCTTCTCTCTCTCTCTCCCCCAACCCCTTTTCTCCCCTCTTTTTCCCCTCACTTCTTACCTCACTTCTTTATCTCTCCTTTCGGATTATCGTGGAAATGATAGATCAGCTGATGGTCTCAGTGCAGGGTACTTTCCTCGAATAATGATAATAAGGATTATTAGGATAGTAATAATGGTAGTAGTAATAATAATGATAATGGTGTGTGTGTGTGTGTGTGTGTGTGTGTGTGTGTGTTGTGTGTGTGTGTGTGTGTGTGTGTGTGTGTGTGTGTGTGTGTGTGTGTGTGTGTGTGTGTGTGTGTGTGTGTACGTGTGCATATGTATATAATGTCAGTTTTACATTAACATGAAACAACTTCAACTCCTCAGTCACATGCAATATATTTTCAGGCATGATAATGTGCAAGCATAGCAAGCAGTCGGACAAACAGAAGAAACACAAGCATGTAGATGATAGCAATATTTATTTTGATAATGATAACGACAATAATAATAGTGATAATAATTATAATAATAAAAAATAATGATAATGGCAGTATAATGGGAATGATAATGGTCATTATAATAATGATAATGATAATGATGATAGATGTAATAATGATAATGATAATGATAAATGTAATAATGATGATAAATGATAATGATAATGATAATGATGATAAATAAGCCAATGCAATCACTCCCTCTGTGAGTAACGTGAGACAGCAATAATGATAAAAAGATACTGATACTGACAATAATAATAATAATGGTAATAGTAATACTGAAAAGTAAATAAAGATAATGTGAGTAATGATAATGATAATGGTGATGATGATAATAATAATAATGGTAATAGTAATACTGAAAAAATAATAAAGATAATGTAAGTAATGATAATGATAATGATGATAATAATAATAATGATGATGATGATGGTGATGATAATGAAAACAACAACATTCTCAATGATAATGCTGATAATAATGAGGGTGATAGTAATAATAATCATAACGATAACATCAATAATAATGATAATGATAATAATAATGATCATAATAATGAGGACTATAATAATAATAATGATGATTATGATAATAATAATAATAATGATAAAAATAATAATAGTAACGACAATAATAGAAATAATGACTAATAAAAATTATAGTAGTAATGATATAAATAATAATAATAATAATATTAATAGAAGTGATGATGATAATCATGTTGATGAGGCAAATATGTGACTAAAATATTATCACTTTATGAGTGAATTTAATTAGAATTCTCCAAAGGATTGAGGATTTAGTTAAATGCTTTATAGTTCATGAAAGAAAATTCATTTTTTTTAGGGAACTAGAATGATAAAAAGAAGAAGAAGAAGAAGAAAAAAGAAGAAGAAGAAGAAGAAGAAAAGAAAAAAGAAGAAGAAAAGAAGAAGAAGAAGAAAAAGAAAAAGAAAAAGAAAAAGAAAAAGAAAAGAAAAAGAAAAAGAAAAAGAAAAAAAAAGAATACGAAAAAGGAGAAAAAGAAAAAGAAAAAGAAAAAAAAAAGAAAAAGAAAAGAAAAAGAAAAAGAAAAAGAAAAAGAAAAGAAAAAAAAAGAAAAAAGAAAAAGAAAAAGAAAAAAAAAGAAAAGAAAAAGAAAAGAGAAAAAGAAAAAGAAAAAGAAAAAAAAAAGAAAAAGAAAAGAAAAAAAAGAAAAAAAAAAGAAAACGAAAACGAAAACGAAAACGAAAACGAAAACGAAAAACGAAAACGAAGAAAAAGAAAAAGAAAAAGAAAAAGAAAAAAAGAAAAAGAAAAAGAAAAAAAAAAAGAAAAAAAAGAAAAGAAAAAAAGAAAAGAAAAGAAAAGAAAAGAAAAGAAAAGGAAAAGAAAAGAAAAGAAAGAAAAAGAAAAGAAAGAAAAAGAAAAAGAAAAAGAAAAAAAAAGAAAAAGAAAAAGAAGCGAAGAAGAAGAAAAAGAAGAAAAAAAAGAAAAAGAAAAAAGAAAAAGAAAGAAAAGAAAGAAGAAAGAGAAAAGAACAAGAACAAGAAAAAGAAAAAGAAGAAAAAAGTAAACGCTTCTATCTTGAGTTTAACGCGCAGGTGGAGCGGTCTGCTCTTACCCATGAACACATCACCTTTATTACTGCTATTACTTTGATTCCCATTAACACCATTTTAATCACTAATCATCATCATGAACTTATTTCACACATTCACCCTTCCCATCGGAATAACTCCATGTCCTTAACCCTTTCAATATACCTCTATCTCCCCCTTCCTTCTCCAGAATGTGGGGTTTGCTCGCCCTTGAGTTCTCGACGAGGCCTGTTCTCCCGTTCTCCCTCAAGCAGTTCAGCGACTTCGCCAAGGAGGAGTTCAAGATCTTCAAGAACAAGTTTGGAGCGAAGTTATTGCTCCTCGGCGTAAGCACAGGTAAATGAGGTGGCGTTTTGGTTTTACTGATATTCCTGTGGTTTGTTTTTCTAAATCTTTCTTTTATTGGTTTTATTTTATCTGATTTATTTTATCCTATTTATTTTGTATTATTTATTTATTTATTTATATATCTATTATTATTATTATTATATTATTATTATTATTATTATTATTATTATTATTATTATTATTATTATTATTATTATTATTATTATTATTATTATTGTTATTTTCATTTTTATTTTTTTATTCTATTTATTTATTTATTTATTTTATTTTTACAAATAATCGCAACCTGACACATGTACAATAGAAGGGGAAGACTAAACCGTGACATTTCGGCGAATATTTTCATCCTTTTCGGGAGGAGGAACCGAAAGGGGTCCCAAAGGCCTTGAGATTTTTAAAAGGGTTGTCTATTCTTATAAATTAGGGTGCCATTTAGTGCCTCCGTATCTAATTAGGCTTTCTTTTATTTTCTTTTATCAGTGAGCTTAATAACGGTGATTACTGTGATGCTCATCGGAATAACACACTTTTGATTTATTATAATCATCGTCTATGTAGTGTGAAGACATTTATTAAGGCGATATTAAGACTATTTTATTCTTATAAATACATATATACTAATATGATATATTTATCGTCTATGTATATACCTGTGTAGGCTTATTCATTAAGACAATATCAAGACAATATTCTACTTTCATAAGTACATATATACTAATATGAGATAATCATCGTCTATATATACAGTTATGAAGACTTATTAATTAAGACAATATTCTATACTTATAGATAGCTATATATATTTTATTTTATACAATACTATTATATTATATCATAATATTTTATACTCATAGATAGCTATACATATGATGATATGATTATATGAAATTTACAAGAAATTTCTCTTTTGATATCTAATGATTATCTTGTCAGGGAAAATAACGAAATGATTTCTTGTAAAATTCCCCCCCCCCCCCCCCAGCTAATTTGGATGCGGCCATTAAGAGCCTCGGCAAAAACATCGACGACTTCTTGGAGAGACTCGACGCAGCCGACTGGAATAAGTAAGTCGCAGGAATCAAGATGTTTATATCTATCGGGTAAAAAAAAAAAATAAAAAAAAATTAGTCCTTTTCACGATATGCGAGATATACCCTCGTGGAAGTGACGTCGGCTCTTGCTGCAGCGATATAGACCAAGGTTAAAGGTCAACGGGAGAGGCTGACCTGGTTTTTCTCTCTCTCTCGCAGCGACCTCGTCCTCCGAACTTACAACGATGCCATGATGCTGATGGAGCGGGCTTTCCTCTCGCCGTTCGGGCTTCCAGATCGACCTCTCCTCAAGTGCGTTCGGGTGCCTTCGGGTCTTGCTGTTACGTCTGATTTTGTCCCATATATCTAATTCGGCAGATTTTCATCAATCTAATTCTATGTTACTTCATTACGTCTGATTTTGTCTCATATATCTAATTTGGCAGAGCAATTTTATCGATCATTCTAATTCTATGTCAAGTTTGGTCATTATCAAAACAGAAAACAAAGTCAACAACAACAACAATCAGTAAAATTCCATATCAAATTCTCCTTATCAAAAAAAAAAAAAAAAAAAAAAAAAAAAAAGTCAGAAAGAAGAGGTACAATTGATCAGTTATCACCACAATGTCCATCACTGATCATACGCACCTATTTCCTCCATTACCAAAAAAAAAA